TAAATAAAAGAATTTTTTTAATAAATAAAATAATATATTAATTCGATAAATGTTTTTATAGTTTGAATTTAAAATAGCATATCTATAGTTAAACAACCTTGCACACAATATATATCTCGAAAACTATTTATAAATGAAATACTGTCATTATATTATTGCTTAAAATAAATTGCTGGACGCAAACATTATAATCATGGTGTTACGATTATAAATATCATTTAAAATGCACTTCATTTTATTTTAATATTTTAATAAATAGAAAAAATATTTAAATGTATAAAAAATACTTAAACATATTTCTATGAGAAATTTAGAAATTTTTTATTTAATTATTAATATTAAATGCGTATAAATATTTTAATTACTACTATAATTAATTATTACTTTAATTAATACTATAAAGTTAATATAAAAATTAATAATTAAATATTTATTAATATTTGTAAAATATTTATAAGCACATTTGCAAAAATTGATTTTTTTTATTCTATATGTTTTATATATATATATATTAAATAAATAAATATATTTTTCTAAATATAAAAATTTAATAAGTAAATACAATATAAATATATGTATGTGACATTTTATCGTCATTAATTTATAAGTTTTTAATTTGAATACGTCTATTAAAAATATAATAATCGAAATGTTAGTAGAGGGGTGGAAAACCGACTAGACGAACTGACAAATATATCAGTCTTATCCCACGTAGTGTTAAAGTAAGTGGTCTACCGGAGACAATCAGTCATAATATTTGCATAGTGTCAATATTGAATTTATTGAATTATATCTTTTGTATATATCTTTATTTTGAAATGAATTTTAAATTATATTTAAATTTATTATTATTTTTATAGTTTCTTCATATAAAAAAATTATTTCCAAATATTGTTTTTTGTAAAATATTAATTTTTTTTATTTGATAATATTTAAATTAATTTAAATAATATAAATTTTGTCTTTTAAAATAATATAATATAATATTTTGTCTTTTTCATTATTTAACAAAAAATAATAATTTATGTTTTTTAATATTTTTTCTGATAAATAAATTATCATTTAATATTGCAGGAAAAAACTACAAAGTATGACAGCTAATAGCTGTTGAATTATTTAAAAGTGTGTTCAAGATTGTCAATATGCAACGAGTTCTTAGCTTTCAAATGGCTCGTGGACTTAGCGAGTCTAGCGAATTTGTGACAAAACGTATATGTTTTTCATTAATATTTTCTATCGGTTTTCTTTCTTTATTGTGCGGTTTTTTACTTGGTCGCTTTGCCACGCAAAGGGCTATAGAATTTCGCGCAGAAAAAAAACGTCTTGAATTAGCGGGAAATGGTTTAGAAAATACTGAATATCTTCAACGTTTAGTACTCGAACAATTAGAAAGAGCGCCTCTTGATGCTGATTTCGAAAGGTATATATATTTTTTCTTTTTTTTTTTTAAATATTTAAATCTCGTTATTTATTATTTTTAAAATATTAATTTATAAAATAGGAAATGGGAATCTTTCAATTTAAAAGAAGATGATATAAATCAAGTAAATGATATTTTATCGAATTTATCGCTTATTGAAAAAGTTGTTAAACATCAATCGTATATTATGGCTACTATTAGAGGATCTAGAGAATCAGGTAAGTTAATTTTTTTTATATTAATTTTATATAAATATAAAAGTATAAATTGTACATATTACTCACTATTAAATGTTCAGATAGATATATAATTTTATCAGTCAGTTGCGAAGGCGTCGGTGTTGCTTTGGAATTGGCAAAAATTTTTAATCAAATTCAAAAAGAATATAAATGGAAACCTCGTAGATCTCTTATTTTTTGTTTATTTTCGGGATCTTCCAATTCTTGTGCAGAAGTATTATCTAATTTTATGCCCCATAAAATTATGGCTTATATTGTAATACATCATCAAGCTTTACAAGGTTTGTTATGATAAACAAATTAAGGATTATTAATTTTTTACATATTTCAATAAATTTCAGGTAAAGGTCATTTTATTGTATCTGGATCAGATATAGTTCAATCTATGGTTCTAGAATCTGCTAATATTGTAAAAAAATGGTTTTCTTATAACAATCAATTATTGTCTTTAAATAATATACCTTATAATATTACAACTTCCCGACTAACTTTAGATATACCTCATGCAGTATTATCTTTTATGGTAAATAATAATATTAAATATAAAAATTTAAATAAAAAACAATTTTTATATTTTTTTATATTTTTAGAATAATGATATTACACATAATGAAAATCATCATGAAAGAGAAATACGTAAAATAATAATAGCACAAATACTTGCTCAAACTATTTGGAGATTTTCTGAATGTTTGATAATAAAATGGAATCCAAATTATTTCAATAAAACTGCCTTTAAAGCATTAGAATCTATAAATCGTATTGAATTGTTAGAACAAAAAGGTACGAAATATATTAATATTTTATATTTTATAATTTTAAATAAAATTTTTTTTTCTAGAAAAAATACAACAAACCTTGGATAAATTGTTAATTAATATTAAAATTTTAAATGAAAAGATTGATACAATTGACAACATTAAGTATGTAATATATTCACAAATTATATAAAATTTTTATATGTATATATTACAACATTTCAGAAACATAAAGAATCTATCCTTTTTTTTTTGTTATAGCACTCTTGAAACAAGAATATTAAATGATTTATTGATGGATTTGGATAGAATTCTTCTATGTCCTGATAAACAGTATCAATCTAAAACTGATTGGATAAAATTCTTTAAATTAAATCATGAGCCTTTTAACATAATCCTAATGCATATTAATGAGATCATAAAATGTTATGAAAATGCTATACAACTTTTACAAGATCAATAGAGAAAATATAAAAATATAAAAGCTTAGACTTGACATTTTTTTTAAAATGATTGTGGTAATATTCAATAATTATCACAATAATGATGTTTTTAAACATGTTTTTAACATGTTTATCTTATATCTAGTTTAATTTTTTTGCTTACAAGTTCCTATTTTTTTTATTTTTATATTATTACAAATTATATAGTCATTTATACATATGTAAGTATAAAACATGTATTATTTTTGCCTGTGATAAATTAGATCATTTTAAATTAATGTATGTTTCCTATACCATATCTTATTTCTCTTTCAAATTGTGAAGCATCAAGTGTTCCCTCAATAGCTTTACAGTTTGGATTAAATACAGAATAAGCACTAAGTTCACCTGGTTTTTTTGGTCTAGACCGAGTATTTAAACAAATAAATATTAATGTAGATATAATAAAATATATTGCTCCAAATTCATATTCAATTGCAATTATATATAAGGTAGCCCATAGAAGAAAATATAATAGATATGTTACTATTCTTAGTATTGTACATTGTGATTGGTGTTCAGTATCATCTGAATAGGTACTTTCCATATCTTGATTATCCTGCAAGTTTTTAATAGTTAATCATATTGATCTATTGTATAAATTTTGCAATAAATATTATTTTAATCATTTTTTATGTAATAAACATATTTTTTGTAGTAGATTATTTCATATTATTGACATATAAAAATATGTTCAATTATCGTAATAATATTTAAAGAACTGTATACGTCATAAATAACATAACCTTACTTTAATATCACTTAACGGTGTTGTTGCCAATATATCTTCAGCTGATTTATTTCTATTCCACGGTAAGACAGTTTGAATGATATTCTTAATGGATTTTGTCATTTGTTCTCTATATTTCTGGCGTCTGTAAGTGTCAAGTCTATCTCTTATGTTAGTTCCAACCATGTTAAATACAATGATTTTCTCTATCCAATATATAACTTTATGCTAATTCACAATTCGATTTATAATATACATTATTTTGCAAAATGATTGGTCGCTTATTATAATTGCATTAAACATTATTATTGGTCCATATATAGAAAGATTTTTGTGTAACTATCATTGCGATATGGACTAAAGTTGATTAAACGAAGTTTGTTTAATATATATTTGAATTTATTGAATTTGTCTAATATATATTTGTCTGTAATATATATTTGAATTTATTTTGAAAAATAAAATGAGTTAATATTATATTAAACAAATAAGATTTAATAAGTCTTTTAAATTGAAAAATTTTTTTAAATATCTTTTTAAGTAGTATCAATGGAGAACCGAGATAAACGTACAACACAATCTGATTCTAAGGTTGATGCTAAACTATTGAATGGACTAGATACTCGATTACATGTCGCAATTGATTTCGGAGCTTCTTTCATTATTTCCGGAATTTTGGCAATCATATTTAGAAGTATGACTGCGCCGCTAGAAAGGATTAAATTGATTTTACAGACACAGGCGAGTAGCCCTCAAATAGGAATTCAGAAACGAGCTCCATATAGTGGTGTTTTAAATGCATTTATTAGAATACCTAAGGAACAAGGATTCTTATCTTTATGGCGCGGAAATCTCCTCAATGTTTGTCGATATTTTCCAGCTCAAGCGATTCATTTTTCCTTTTATGACATATATTACGAAATTTTTCGAAGAGTTCGTTTAAAAGATTAATTTATAAAATTTCTTTTTTTATCAATTTTTTTTTAACATTATATCTGTAAATTAGATAATGTTACGCAGATAATTCCATCGGGAACTCACAATCACATCATTTTGCCATTTTTGACCGGTGGTTCTGTCGGTGCTACTTCCACCATGATACTCTATCCCCTTAATTTCTGCAATACACGAATAAGCGTAGATGTCGGCGATGACAAGATTATTAAGAGGGAATTTTCCAATTTAAAAGATTGCTTAACGAAAGTTTATAAGAACGATGGTTATAGAGGTTTTTATCAAGGATCGTTCTACATGGCGATCGCGCACTCCTCGTACAGGTTTTATAGTAGTAATACTTAAGAATATTAAGTAAAAGTATGTTATTAAGTAAAACTAAAATAATACTTAACTTAAATAGTACTTAATTTTATTATCAATTGTGAATTCAAATATATTAGTATGTTTATTGAATGAATTTGTTTTAATTTAATTTCTTTTGTTAAAATTCTTCTTTTAATTTAATATCTTTTGAATTATTGTTATAACTATTTTAAAAGAATTCGATCGATACAATTTTTGATTCTATTATATTAAATAATTCTTCAAATAAATAAATAGAATAGAATGAAATAACGATAAATAAGCAATAAATAAAATTCTAATCTCATAATGTGACAATTTAGATTAAAAATTTGACTAAACTTTGTAGGTCTGTTTACTTTGGTGGTTATACAATTGGTAAACGAATATATTTGAGTAATTCTTTGCAAGATGATAAAAATTCTCATACAGTAACTGTACCATTCTTAGTATCCTTGTTGCTTGCACAATCATCATCTTGGGCCGCGATAGTTATAGCTTATCCTTTTGATACATTAGCCAGACAAAAAATGCTTTGGAGCGGACGTAATGCAATTGAATATCCGCCAATGCGACATGTGGTCAGTAGAAAATTGTAAAATAACGAATATTTAACGAATATTTTATTTAATGAGTAAGATTCTTTCGTATTTTATTAGATGAATAATATTATAGCAAAAGATGGCCTATTTGGTTTTTATAAAGGCGTACATGCTAATTTAATGACAACTATTTGCGGATCTTCAGTATTGGTTACATATGATATTGTTAAGTTCCGCTTTGATAAGCTAATGGAGTCATATTCCAAAGGTACATTGCACATTATTAATAATTTCATAAGATTACTCTTTAAAAATTATATTTTTTAGGATAAATTCAAGATTTGAAAATGAAAGTTGAAATGAAAATATATAAAAAATATGAAATATGAAAGATAAATTTGAGATTATAAATTGTTGCTTTCTATATATATTTAAAATAAGCTTAACCAGCTTTACATAAATACATAATTGTGGAAAAAAATAAATAATTATATAAGATTATTTATGTTTATATAAATTTTATAAGATTATATAATATATTTATACAATCAATTGTATTTTCATTTAAAATTATTTTAACATTATTTTAACATTTTTATATATTGATTTGATATCATATAGTACATACGTTTGAAAAAAATGTTAAAAAATAAAGAAATATTTTTTATAAATGATAATTACAAAATTTGTAAAAAAAATTACGATGAAATATAATATCAATTTAATGTTGTAAATTCAATGATATCTTTATTTTGTTAGACACTATCTAAGGCCAATAAGCATGCGTATCATTTTCTAGAACTTTGATATAATATGATGAAATTTATTCTGAATATACAGTTATGTCATATTTATTTATTGTATCAAATATTTTCGAATTAGGAACAATAATATGGGACATCGAAAAAATTTATTTTCTGCATTTAATCATCATTTTTATGTTTTAATAATCTTTCACATTCTATCTTGTATTATGAAATATATATTTTAAACTAATTGTTTCCCAAAGATTTTTGCCATATATCTATATTATATATCAATTAGAAAAATATATATGTATGTTTCAGACCTTGATTCAACGTTTACGTTCAGTGACAGAAATAATATAACAAATCATTCTCAATAGAAATCTCGCACTGATAACATCGTACTGTGACACGTGGAGCGCTCAATTTTAAATATGTTGCACGTGGAAAATCATATTGATAATCATAAGGAAAGTGGCATGGATCACTTGAGAAATAACATTTGTAATAGTTCTATAACCACTGAAAATGTTCGTGAAAGTCATGTGCTTGTTCTTTATACTGGCGGTACTATTGGCATGATTAGAAATGAAAATGGAGGTAATATTATAATTATAATTTTTCCTTTCCTATATAAAATTAAAATTGAAATAATCTAATTACAAATATGAAGACGATTTCTTTTTACAGTTCTTGTACCTAAACCAAACGCTTTTGTGAAAAAATTACGGAATTATCCACATATGTACGATCGAGAATACACGGAAAAACGATTTGGATCGATGGGACCGCTGGTACTTCCGTAAGTGTAAAACAAATTAATAATAAATTTCAACTTATTTCAAATTATAACATATATATATATATATATATATATATTTTTTTAAGAATGACTGCAACAGATAGTAGACGTGTCATTTATAATGTATTAGAATATTCACCACTCTGCGATTCTAGTAACATGACTATGGACGATTGGATACACATTGCTAATGATATTAAGGTAAAGTATAAATTATATATGTATATGTACATAAGTTATATATATAGCATAGAAACTATAAATATGGCCTAATCGAAGGATATGAATTTGTAATACACATACATATACATATACATACATCAAAATGGAAAACTTGTTTCAGGAATGTATGTATTATATAAATGAATAAAAAAAAAAAAGGATCATCTATAAACAAAATTAAAATATATAATGTAAAGTCTTTAACATTGTAATTAAGTTTTTAAAATTTTTTAAGTTAATTTCTTAATTTTTTGATAATTTAAAAAAAATGTATGTTTATAATATAATTTTCATCGTTTTAGCAATCTTACGAGTATTTTGATGGATTCATCGTTCTACATGGAACGGACACATTAAGTTATACAGCATCTGCTTTATCTTTTATGCTTGAATCTCTGGGTAAAATAGTTATTTTAACTGGTTCTCAAGTTCCAATTTTTGACAGCAGAAGCGATGGTTTGGACAACTTCCTCTCGTCTCTAATAATAGCCGCAAATCATAACATACCAGAAGTATGCGTATTTTTCGGAACGAATTTGATGAGAGGAAATCGTACTTGCAAAATATCGGCCACCTCATTCGAAGCGTTCGATTCACCGAATTTCCCACTTTTGGCCAAGGCCAACATCAATATAGAAGGTTAGCAGCTGACCCAATTACAGGATGCAATTCACTTAATTGACTGTGGTTTTATTTTCGAGTGGATCGTTTGCTTTCATGAAATATTCTCTCATCCATTAGATAGAAGTGTAAATGCAAAGAAATAGTTATCAAAATGTTTGAAAAGTGAGAGTAAGTAGTACTTATATACACGTACTACTGATTGTATGCAGTAATATTAACATGTTTATATGTATGTGTTAATTTATTGCGGCACATTTTGCTACAAACTATCATTAAAATTGTTGTTATAAAGCAAATACATTAGCATATATATAATATATGTCGCATACGAATGTAGTTTAAGAATGTCTTTATCGTTTACGTGTATTTTATCAATGTCATTATAATGAATATTTGCATTACAGTGAATTATCGAACAATATTTCGACCATGTACATTAGAAAAGTTTTATGTACATACATCCTTGAATAGAAATGTTGGATTGATTCGAATATTTCCAAGTATGACCACAGATTTGGTAAAAACATTTTTACAACCTCCTATTGAAGGTGTTGTGTTGCAATCTTATGGAACAGGAAATGTTCCTTCTAATCGAGAAGATATAATTAAAGAATTATCCGCAGCTACGAAACGCGGAGTTATCATTGTTAATATTACACAATGTTCAACGGGTCATGTTTCAAATTTGTACGAACCTTCCAAATTTCTTTATGATGCTGGTACAGTATACGATTAAAAAAAAAAAATTCAAAATTGAGAAACGAATAAAAAAGAAATTATTTCATATTTGAAAAAAATTTTAAAAAAATTTTAAAAAAATTTTTAGGCATAATATCAGGTTTCGATATGACACCTGAAGCTGCATTGACTAAACTCGCTTACGTATTGTCAAAGGAAGAATGGGATATGCAAACGAAACTCGAAATGATGCAAACGAATCTACGCGGAGAATTAACTGCAGGACGACCTCCACATCTCGAAGATTTAGATTTAGTGGAGGCGGTTGCAAGATCTTTAAAAATCTCTTCGACGACAGAATATCAAGAATTGGGATCAATTCTTTTTCCTGCGATGTTAAATGCCGCCGTGCGAAGTCGCGACATAATAAAACTCGAAGCCTTGAAAACATATGTAAATATATATAATTGGTATATTTTTTTTTTTAAATTTGATTTCTTTTTCAAATCAATATATACGTTCATATAATATTATTATCCTTAGGGTGCAGATATTTCGCAACAAAACGCAGATGGTCGCACAGCTTTACATATTGCTTGTTGCGAAGGCGATTTAAATATTGTTCGCTGCCTTTTACGAATGGGTGCAAACGTTCATATCAAAGATCGATTTAATCGCACCCCTCTTACTGATGCGATAGAATTTGATCATCATGAGGTACAATATCATTCCAATGTTATATTTTTTGTTCAAGGAAAGAATTTCAATGGATTTTTCATTTCAATTTTCTAGATTATTAAAATTCTAATGCAGTGCGGTGCACATTTACACGGAAACGCATGCATAATAGGAGAAAAAATGTGTATTGCGGCAACCACTGGAAACATAAAACGTTTAAAATCGTATCAATTGGCAAACGCCATACTCTCGCAGAAAGATTTTTCTGGAAGAACCCCATTGCACTTCGCGGCGCTGCATAATAGAACACAAGTTATCAAATTCTTAATGGAATACAACGTAGATATGATATGTTTTGATAAAATGAATCAATCGCCATATGATCTCGCCATAGCAGCTGGTTCCACAGAAGCAGCGATATTGTTATCTCCTCCTAAATGATCTAATTGAATTTATCGAATTAATTATAATTATTAACTATAGTTACTAACTATAGTAAAAAATCTCGAAATGAAAGTAAAATAATCGTTAGCTCGTAATTTGCTATAATACATAAATAGTATAAAATGAATATCTATTTTTGTATTGTATCCGCATTCTAATTCAATATGACAATTCTATGAGGCGTAGCAATATTTTTTTATACTATAATAATTGTAAAAAAACAACATATCACGAAAATACGTTAATTTGTCACAGAAGCATCGTTAAGCATTTCATATGATAGTTTAACAAAAAGTGAAAGTTTCAAAGTGATGGTGATTATGGCTAGATCACGCAGCAGTGCACGCGAAGATATTTCATAGTGGGTGAGTTAAAATAATAACATATTTCCTTATATTATGAACTAGAGGAATAAAAAATCTCTGAAAATTTTTTTAAATTATATACAAAAATATTTTTTTTTATATTTATACGATAATAAAATATATCTTACATCGTTATACTATTCCAAATTCGTTCATGATAGTTTTTAGAAACTTTGGTGTTATTAAACACTCCTTATAAGCATAAGCACAATCACGATTTCCTTTCCGTCCAGTAATCACAGCATCTTGAATGATTGTACCATTTGTGATGTCTTTGAACCAATTATGACTGTACGAATATTAAAATATTTTCATAATATTAAATTTTTTAGTTTTCTTTCTTTCCAATTTTAATAATACCTTGATAATCCATCAATTATTTTGTCCGCACTAGTTGGATTCTCTGAATGCGTAGCCACTGAAACGATCGAACAAACAATACGTTGCATACATGGAGCCACGTAATTGTTGCCAAAAATCATTTCGTTGATAGTGTTTCCCATTTCTAACCATTGGTCATTATCCATTGATCCTTTTAAGCAGTAAAAATAAAATGAAAATAAATAAAGAAAATAAATTTAAATATAGAGAATCGATATTATTTACTTACGATAATTGAATTCTGGATGCGGTTTTGAGAATAATGGAGAAGCTACGCTAAACAGAGTGGTAATTAATCCAACGATTCCAAGGGATTTCGTGTTAACATTGAGCAATGGCGGAATTTCACCGTTCTCCCTTATTTTATGTTCAAAAGGTATCGAAATAAAGGGAATAGTTACTGCCCAATCAATCTTTAACAATTATAAAAAAAAAATAATAATAATTTTTATTTACCTAGATAAAATTATTAAAATTATTAACAATTTATTAAATCTTACACTGAGTTTCTCTTGATCTGAATCGAAAGAGATTAATCCTCCACTTGGATATTTTCCAAATTTACTATTACTATGAGTTCTTGAACTTTTTACTTTTCTATTAACGTTCTCCTTCGAGATAGAAAAATGTAAAAGACATAATAACAACGTAATAGTATTAAACGAATTTTTCATGATTATACCACTGAAAATAATTTGATAAATTATTCTAAAAAAGGTTCAGCTATAAATAATTCAAAGAAATTATTAGAAGTAAAAATTTTTTGTTATATTTACCGTAGAGTTGGTAAATCGACTAATTGAAGCGCACACAGGAAAACGTATGACGATTGCTTGATCCTTGCTGGCAGTTTTTGTACAAGAGTCAGCCCACTCTTGTCAAATAGGAAATTCTATTTTCACGAGCAGAATTAACGAACCTAAAAGAAACTTCTAGTTAAATTACTGTCATGAAATTACTATCACATATATATATATATCATAGTTGTTATACTGATCATCGTCACGCCTAATTCCGCAAATTCGCGCATAAGTGTAATTACATTTGCACTTACGATTCATTATTTTCACAAAA